ATCAGCGCACAAAAGCGAGCAGTTTTTTGAGCGCTCAGTTAATGCAGATTAGACACGTGGTTTTACGTTTTGTTTCTGTAAAACGTAAACAAATATGCTCAAAGCTGTGTGAATAGGGAAGGCTTGCGGACACAGATATGACGTGTCTGGACGCAGATTGTTTCTGATACGGTGATACGTGGATTCGTTTCAGTGTAAACGGGGTCTAAAATTCCCAAATCTCAGAATTGATACTTTGCAGCTACATATGAAGAAATGTTTCTGTAGTTTCCAGAGTTTAATTCCATAGTTTGAAGGTCCATTTTTTCTTCCTTTGGCTCTGGGTTCACTGCTATCGTCTTGGTTACCAAGTTCTGTGGTAACCAAGACGATAACCAAGACTTTGATTTTTTTAAATCTGCCATGTCATGTTCAAAGCTTTGTGACTCACAAAGCATTTTTGTATAAGAGTGAAACAGGAGGACTTTCTGTTCATTTGCAGATCGCAGCTCTCGTGGACACACGCAAACAGAGAAGGAGAAGATTTCAACTCCAAGCACTGGTAGGTGAAGACGAGCAGACACAGCCTACAACCTACTGTTTAAAATGGGAAGAGATCTAGTTTAGCCAAACCAAATTTGGTAGCCAGATGCATCATGGCAATAAGAACAAAAATGTATATTGTGACCACGCCCCTTTACAAACCGGAAGTCCGACATCTTGGATTTTTTTTTTTTTTTCCAAATTTAAAAAATTGCAGAAAATTAAATTAAGATTTTTAGGGCTAGGGTTGGGGCTATGGTTAGGATTACGATTAGGGTAAGGGTTAAGTTTAGGCTTATTAGGGTCAGTGTGAGGTGCGGCGTTTGCGGGCGCGGCGCGTAAGCGCGCGCGAGGTGCCGATCATCGCCGCTTGCGGCTGTATTTATTATTATTTTCTTTGCAAACGATCTCGATTTTGAGGGCCTGAACGTCGACGAAAAGTCCCCAAACCAGGGTCCAGATCGACCGATCTGGCGAAAAATTTCATAAAATGGGCATCGCGACAATGTCCAAAGCCCCCCCACTCAACAGCCCCCCCTTGAAATTTCAAAATTTTGAAATGAATTGGAGGCTCAGACACAAATTTTGGCGTATGATCACGAAATTCGGAAGTGATAAAGAACTCAAGGAGACAAGCCAAAAAGCCAATCATTGTGCACCCGTGACGAACAGGAAGTCGGCCATATTGGATCAAAAATTCGGCGCGCCATTTTACTTGGGGTGTCTACAAAAAGATTCAGTCCCCAGGGTTTTCTCCAAATGAGCTCAAATTTGACATGTCACATCTACAGACATAAATCACAAAAATTAAATTTTTATTTTGATAATCCTTACGGTTCGCCCGTAGCACGCCGGCGAAGAACGCGCTTCATTTCCTGTTTTTCGGTGACCTGTCACGGCCACAGGCATTGTCCTACAGAACTCAAATTCAAAATCACAATTGTGTGATCCAGGCCTGAATGTGATGAAATATGAAATTAATAAAAGTGAACTCTATAGCGCCCCCTACCATAGACGTGAAAACATTACAGATTTGTACCAAATTTGGGAATTAAATTCTATGCATGATTACAAGCAAAAAAGTCTATTACGGACATGATGCATTTCCCACCACTGGCCAGCAGGGGCGCAAAGAATCCCCATAAAATAGTTAAAAAAATGTTTACACACTTTAAGTTAACAAAGTTAACTTAGTTTAACTTAGTTAAGTTTAGGCTTGGGTTGTCGGTCCTGGTTTAGTCCTGGTTTAGAGACCTGGTTTAGTCCTGGTTTAGTCCTGGTTTAGTCCTAAGACCTGGTTTAGTCCTGGTTCAACAGAGTCAGCATCAGCACAGACAGACACAGAAACAGAACACATAATCCACTGAGTTGTGTCCTTTAGTCCGACAGAAGCTGAACCACATCAGCGCACAAAAGCGAGCAGTTTTTTGAGCGCTCAGTTAATGCAGATTAGACACGTGGTTTTACGTTTTGTTTCTGTAAAACGTAAACAAATATGCTCAAAGCTGTGTGAATAGGAAAGGCTTGCGGACACAGATATGACGTGTCCTGGACGCAGATTGTTTCTGATACTGATACGTGGATTCGTTTCAGTGTAAACGGGGTCTAAAATTCCCAAATCTCAGAATTGATACTTTGCAGCTACATATGAAGAAATGTTTCTGGTAGTTTTCCAGAGTTTAATTCCATAGTTTGAAGGTCCATTTTCTTCCTTTGGCTCTGGGTTCGCTATTGGTTATCGTTTGGTACCAAGTTCGATAACCAAGACGATAACCAAGACTTTGATTTTTTAAATCTGCCATGTCATGTTCAAAGCTTTGTGACTCACAAAGCATTTTTGTATAAGGGTGAAACAGGAGGACTTTCTGTTCATTTGCAGATCGCAGCTCTCGTGGACACACGCAAACAGAGAAGGAGAAGATTTCAACTCCAAGCACTGGTAGGTGAAGACGAGCAGACACAGCCTAAAACCTACTGTTTAAAATGGGAAGAGATCTAGTTTAGCCAAACCAAATTTTGGTAGCCAGATGCATCATGGCAATAAGAACAAAAATGTATATTGTGACCACGCCCCTTTACAAACCGGAAGTCCGACATCTTGGATTTTTTTTTTTTTTTTTCCAAATTTAAAAAATTGCAGAAAATTAAATTTAAGATTTTTTAGGGCTAGGGTTGGGGCTATGGTTAGGATTACGATTAGGGTAAGGTTTAAGTTTAGGCTTATTAGGGTCAGTGTGAGGCGCGGCGTTTGCGGGGCGCGGCGTAAGCGCGCGCGAGGTGCCGATCATCGCCGCTTGCGGCTGTATTTATTATTTTTCTTTGCAAACGATCTCGATTTTGAGGGCCTGAACGTCGACGAAAAGTCCCCAAACCAGGGTCCAGATCGACCGATCTGGCGAAAAATTTCATAAAATGGGCATCGCGACAATGTCCAAAGCCCCCCCACTCAACAGCCCCCCCTTGAAATTTCAAAATTTTGAAATGAATTGGAGGCTCAGACACAAATTTTGGCGTATGATCACGAAATTCGGAGCAGTGATAAGAACTCAAGGAGACAAGCCAAAAAGCCAATCATTGTGCACCCCTATGACGAACAGGAAGTCGGCCATATTGGATCAAAAATTCGGCGCCATTTTGACTTGGGTGTCTACAAAAAGATTCAAGTCCCCAGGGTTTTCTCCAAATGAGCTCAAATTTGACATGTCACATCTACAGACATAAACTCACAAAAATCATAAATTTTTATTTTGATAATCCTTACGGTTCGCCCGTAGCACGCCGGCGAAGAACGCCTTCATTTCCTGTTTTTTCGGTGACCTGTCACGGCCACAGGCATTGTCCTACAGAACTCAAATTCAAATCACAATTGTGTGATCCAGGCCTGAATGTGATGAAATATGAAATTTAATAAAAGTGAACTCTATAGCGCCCCCTAGCATAGACGTGAAACGTCAACATTATCAGATTTGTACCAAATTTGGGAATTAAATTCTATGCATGATTACAAGCAAAAAAGTCTATTACGGACATGATGCATTTCCCACCACTGGCCAGCAGGGGCGCAAAGAATCCCCCATAAAATAGTTAAAAAATGTTTACACACTTTAAGTTAACAAAGTTAACTTAGTTTAACTTAGTTAAGTTTAGGCTTGGTTTAGTTGGTTTAGTCCTGGTTTAGTCCTGGTTCCTGGTTTAGTCCTGGTTTAGTCCTGGTTTAGTAGACCTGGTTTAGTCCTGGTTTAAGAACAGAGTCAGCATCAGCAGAAGATCCCTCTGTCACAGAAAGAACACAGATAATCCACTGAGTTGTGTCCTTTAGTCCGACAGAAGCTGAACCACATCAGCGCACAAAAGCGAGCAGTTTTTTGAGCGCTCAGTTAATGCAGATTAGACACGTGGTTTTACGTTTTGTTTCTGTAAAACGTAAACAAATATGCTCAAAGCTGTGTGAATAGGGAAGGCTTGCGGACACAGATATGACGTGTCTGGACGCAGATTGTTTCTGATACGGTGATACGTGGATTCGTTTCAGTGTAAACGGGGTCTAAAATTCCCAAATCTCAGAATTGATACTTTGCAGCTACATATGAAGAAATGTTTCTGTAGTTTCCAGAGTTTAATT